GCTGGTGGGTTGTGATTGGAGACCCCAAGTCCAACAGCCTCATCTCCATCAAGCGACTGACTCTCCAACAGAAAGCAAAGGTCTGTTGGCTGCACTCTTCCTGTGTGAAGCCTGTGAGCACACTCCATGTTAAACCAGCCTTCCATCCCTTTCCGACAGGTCAAACTGGACTTTGTTGCACCGGCAATGGGCGTTCACAACTACACGCTGTACTTCATGAGCGATGCCTACATGGGTTGCGACCAGGAGTACAAGTTCAGCACAGACGTGAAAGAGGCCGACAGTGATGCAGACAGTGACTCCGACTGATCTGAGAAGCAGCACAACAGATCCCTGGAAGTTTGATTTTCTGTACATACGTCATAGGGTTTATTTACTCTCAACTCAAATAATTGTTTTCTGACTTTTTATTTACAACTTTTGGGTATGTGTTCAGGTCAGTTTTATTATGATGTACACTGATGCAGAAGAAGTGAATATTTTTAGTTTAGGAACATACACAATCATTCAGATTTCATATTACCTGTAGGCACTTTGTTGTTGTCCCACAACATTCAAGTTTGTCTTGCCACAATAAGTTAAACAGTGGGTCACTCAGTGACTCAAGTTAATTTTGACCAGTCCATGTGTTTTTAGTAATCTGAGTTTTGCAATAAAGAAAAGTCTTGTAGTTGCGTTGCCGTGATAATTCATCGAAACATTTGAAACCTATTATAAGGCGAGTTGTTGGATGGACTATGCTTTTTTTTTTTTTTTTTTTAACACCTTAATTAATGAAGATGAATGAGACTGAAGCACACATTTGGGATTGTGACTTTGTAGCAACAAAGAGGTCAGTGCAGTGATGTGGACCATAGTCAGTCCTGCTCTTGGAACCTCCAGATGGCAATGTCACCGCTGTCGCTACAAGTAGCCAGCAGTCCTGCTTCTTTTGGATTCCATGCCACACTGTTGACGTCCTGGCTGTGAGCTTTGGGCATGTGTGCAGCCAAGGAGAATAGCGGTTGGTCAGGGTCAGTTGATGACTCCTCCTTAAACACTCGCACTGCGTCGTCACCGCTGGCTGTTGCCAGGGCACCAGTCAGACGACACCTAAGAGGAACACGGGGTGATGTGTTCAGGAACTTTGTGGTGTGAATCGTACTCTCACTGTAATAAGCCAACTCAATGAAACAACCGCCCTCCCCCGAATAATCTTATTTGATCTACTTTCATCGAAAAAATGCAATTTACAAAACAAAGAGACCGATCTTACCAGTCAACGTCGTACACTGCGCGTCCATGGTAGCCAGAGAGCGTGCACACACACTTCCATGATATGTCACCTGACCACAGCACAAAAGGTTGAGGTAATTGAGGTAATCTTTGAAGTCAAGATGGCGCCCGAGTAGGCAGCCGTCAGCAAGTGCTCTCATGAGCCTTGCTTTTTTTGTTGTTTTTCTGTTTGTTTTGTCACTTTGTGTTTGTTGTTACGTCGTGTGGACCTGATGTGGACTTTTTTCAGCATTTTTTGGCCACGACATTCATCAAGGAGGAGACTCTGTGCTTGGTGGTTGCGCCTTTTCGGCAGCATGGGTATACCAGCACTGTTTTTGACTAGGAGGAATGTCGGCGCCAGTTGCTGGACAGTCCCGGGGCGCTTGTGTCTTGTGCCTGTAATGGGCAGCATTTTTCACAGCCCCGCTTTGTTCAGCGGAGAGATCGGTGCTGTTGAACGGTCTGCGGCTGGATGGATGCATGGCTTGAGGAGCCGACGATGAGAAGAAAGGAGCGTTAGCGCGGAGCGCTGATGCGGATTTGGAACTGGGAGTCGCGGCTTGGAGTTTGAAGCAGATTACGTGGGACAGGAGAAGTGAACTATAAAACTCTTTTCGTCAATGGACGCTACAGCTTCGTGTTTGCTTTCAAAACTTAGCTTGTAGCAGACGTGTGCACATTTTCAGCATGACGTCTCTGATCCACTGGTGAAAGGACACTTTGTTCCTCTCCTCTTTCATCTATAACTGCTTCGGACAACAAAGTGTATGCAGAAAAGTGGTGAAGATTGCGCAACTGTCTTGTGTCCTATGTGTTGTGTTGTGTTATTTTTGTTATTTTGATTTCAAAATGGCGCCGCGAGAGTGGCTGCCTTTCCAGCAGCTCCTATATTTTGTTGTTCTACTTCTTCCTTTCATAACTTTGCTGCTGTGAATTGTGAATTTCTCCATTGCGAGACTAATAAAGGTTTTCTTAATCTTCTTAATTTCCACAATGAGAACACAAGAGGAAGCTCATTTTGCCAATCAACTCACCTTGACCACTTTCAGCTAGATACTCCTTCCAAATCTTGACTGTGCGATCATCGCTGCATGACGCCAGCCTCTCTCCGGTGGCGCTGAAGGACAGATTCCACACGGTGGACGTGTGGCCCTGCAGTGTGGCCTGACACTCCCAGTCATCATCCACCTCCTTGTAAATACAAATGTTGTTGTCGTAGCTCGCTGAGACGAGAAGCTAGATGGACATTTATTTCAAAAAAATAAAATCAGTAAGAAGCAAGGAAGAAGAAATTGGTCAAGTGCTCGGACTCACTTCCTGTGTCGGGTGCCATGCTACATGTTTGACATCTTGCGTGTGGGAGTTCAGGACTGTAACACACTCGTAATCGTCCTCCTCATCCACTATGAAACAAAAGAGAGCAGATTGTCAACTGTGCTATTTGTACAAAAATGTTTGGTCTTGTCGATTAGGCTTACACTAAGATAAAGGCAAAGGAACAATGACAGAACAGTTAGCGACTTCAAACTGAGTTTTTACTGACACCTGCACAAAATTTTACCAAACAAGTCTGGCGTGATCATAAATTAGTCAGAAATCAGATTACAACAATATCCATCCATCCAATTTCAATGCAAACAAATGTGTATATCCTGTGCGATAAACAGGGGTTCACTCACTCTAAATCAACATGGGGCATGTAATACACACCTTCCCAAATCCAAACACTTTTGTCCCGGCTGCACGTTGCCAGAAGGTTCCCTGAAGGGGCCCAAGACACACATTTCACCTCATTCTCATGCCCCTCCAACACGGTCAAGCTCTGAAAGGAGAAGAGGAAAGCCTCTGTGATTTCATCAGAGGACAAACATTTCCAACAGTTTTAAAAATTAAAACGAACCTCAAAGTCATCATTTTTCTTCTTCCAGATGCACGTTGTGGCATCAAAGCTAGCAGAAGCCAGGTAATTCCCACAGGGAGACCATGCCAACTTTCTCACGGTGCGCTGGTGGCCGTCCTCCAGCACGCCCTTACAGACCCACGAGTCACCTGCAAGTACAATACCGTATGAGACAATGTGTCAAATAAAGTACACAAACATGAAGAACAGAAAATAGCTCACGAGTGTGGTACACCAATATGAACTTTGATCTGCTTGTTGTTTTTGTTGAAATAATTTTCATGTGAAAATGTAATTTACAGGTGATTCCGACATTTGAAAATATATTTCAGTTGTTAAATCATCCAGTGGACATAGATTTTTGCACATGACATTGTGATCTGCAGTGAATAACATTTAAAAGGCAAGCACTGGAAAGGAATTAAGATTAGCCCAAGTAAACCCGAATACTGTATACAGTGTTGGTGAATGAAGAGGGTTGAAGGGAGAAGAGTGATGCTACAAAGAGAAAATGAGCATACTTCACGAAAAGTGCATTCGCCTTGACAGTTTTAATTATACAGGATGGGGTGGGGGAGACTCACCCTCTCGTCCCCAGATCCGAATGGCCTTGTCGCCCCCACACGAGGCCAGGAGAGTCCCATTTGGATTCCAGCCAACGAACCAGCACCTCGAGTCCGGGTGCGCGTTCAATCTCTGAATGAGAGTCAAATTCTCCTTCATGTCTCAAGAGTCAGCTCCGATATTTGAATTTGGTTTGACTGACGCCGAATGTGACAGTTAACCCACGCGGGACTTTACGATGAAAAGACAGCACGCCGCTACTAAATAATGAGCCTGTCAAATATGTTGGTCTTGTTTCTTGAACGGAATATTAATAATAATATGGACATGAAATGGCAATCTCGGATTTATACCGCCAGACAAAGTGCGAAAGTTCAAAAGCAGAGCTAATACGGAAACAGCGCCATGTTTGTTATCGCCTTTTACGCAAGGCATTGTGGGACAGAAAATATCTTTCTTGATTTTAATTTTTGAAAAAATGAATTTATCTAAAAAAACTAGACATTGTGTGCAAAATCATGTGAGAACTTAATGATAAACAAAAATGTAAATGAGCGCATTCATTCATTTAGTTATTTGTTTATGTATTTCCGGCTGTAAATAAATGAAGCTTGAGATTCTGGGACTGATATGCCATTCTTCTACCAAACCACTTAGATTTTTTAGCATTCTTTTTGAAGTCAATTTAAAGAATCACAATCGTTTCTGGTTAAGCAAAGCCAGAGATTTTATTTATAATTATTATCAGATGAACGTGCCCTGAACCCATTATTCAGGTTCCAATACAGTTGATTAATCTCCGGTTAAAAAATGTAGGACAAATATACAAAATGCATTTACATTTTTGCACTGATTACTACAAGAATACGAAATTACAGACCTTGTGGGGTCGTATCGAGGTTATAAGATTTTACAACTATAACATATTTAGGCTTTATCCCAATAATCTAAAATAAAAAATATTATGTGAGGTATATATGCATAGCCAGTAACATGTGATTTTATTCTTTTATACAATACAATTCGAAATATTGTCATGTGTTCTGGAAAGTGTGTTGTTGCAGCTACCTGTTGTGAAAGTGCTATATAAAGATGAATTTAGTTGAGTTATGTGTTATACGTGTACACACAGAAAAAAAGTCTCAGTTTAATTGGAAACGTGACATATTTAGTTTATATTATAAGAGTATGCAAGAGAAATTTACACTTGCTATTTTGACATTCATCCATAGAGGTCAGCACTGAAGACTGTGTACCTAAAAAGCATGTTGAGACAGCGGCGAAAAAGAATGTGGTGAACAAGGAAGTCAATAAGTCTACGGGAAGCTGTTGTAGGCTGTCTTTTGTTTTGTTTGTTCTTTGGTTTCGTTTTTTCGTCGCAATCGTTATTTTTACGAGGACAGTTGTTTGGATTAAATGAAAATTCAGTGGTCAGTTTTCTTATGTTCATTTACTTGGTTTTGGGGTTTTTTTGGCGACGGTATTTGACGTTAGCTTTGGGCCAGCTTTAGACGCTAATAACAGAGCTAACAGGCCTGAAGGCCATCTGTTCATCGTTTGTCGACGATCCATTCTCTTGATCACCTGAAAGATTTTGGGACCGCGGCGATCGAAACATTTGCTTGCTGTTCATCCGATACGTGTTAGGCGTCGCTAAGTGTGCACTTGGGAGCGGAGTCCTCCGGACCAACTAATTACCAAGGACCGGACCAGCATGTATGCCCCACCGGGTTCGACCGGCCCTGGTGGTCGGAGAAGGAGAGGGGGTACTCCTTTGCCCAAGCAACCAGAGCGGAGCCTCGTCTCGGCTCTGCCCGGAGCACTTTCCATAACCGCCCTGTGCACGGCTCTTGCAGAACCAGCATGGCTCCGGGTTCATGGAGGCATCTGCCCCCGACAAGAGCTCGGGGTGGCAGATGTCCTGGGCTATATCGACCCCAAACTCCTGGGTGGTAAGGACAAGGACTCCTGTGTACACTCTGCTGGGAGACGCTGATATTTGTGTAATAAGTTGTTATATGACTCGGTCTTTCAGATAACTGCCTGAATCCACAGACCATATTGTTGCTCCGAGTGATCGCAGCCTTCTGTTTCCTGGGCATTTTTTGCAGCCTGACTGCATTTCTACTGGATGTGTTTGGACCTAAATACCCTGCCCTCAAAATCACACGGAGATATGCCTTTGCGCACATCCTCACAGGTCAGCCTTCCTATCTTGACTTTTGACAGACGTCCTGACAGTGAGTCACAGTACCAAAATTCGGACTGACAGAATATCTGCTTTAAGAATCTCGATACCGGTAAAGAAACAATACCATGGCCAAACATTAAAGTATTATCTCACGACTTATTGCATCTCCGAAGTTCGGGCCAGGTGCTCTATATGGCTTAAGTACAAACAGTATTGGTGAATTTCCTAGTCAAATGCAACCAGTCGAGTGCAAGTTTCCTTGTCGCCAAATAATTTACACTTCTTTGATTTCTATTTGAAGGGAAGTCGTTTAAATGTGTCACATCATAAAATTAAGGACGCTAGTGTTTGTCACTATTGGAGGTGTTCGCTCCTCTGCTCTGTGTGGCTTTTTAGCAGGCTGTAGCAGCTGGCCTTTACTGTTGGCTGTCAAAAGGAACTATTTCCTTATCTCACTTCCTACTTGTTCTTTCTGCACAAGTTGCAGACAGTCGGCAGGAATTGTAGAGGTTGTGGCCAATTCTCTTGTTTTGTTTCCTTTTTCTAATAGGGTTGACCAGCACCATTCTCTTGTTTTGTTTCCTTTTTCTAATAGGGTTGGTTGACCAGCACTACTTTTTCAGAGTGCAACTACTTACATTTATGTACTGACAATACTTGCAATTTTGATGGTGTATTATTTTAATTGGATATTGTTCAAAAACACAAAATTTTTACTTTGCTGCACTGTTTGTGTTCAAAGGTTGATCTTGCACTATTGACGCTTTTTGTTAGCTTGTCTATGGGGTTTCACATTATATGTTAGCACTAAGCTGGTGGAAATTTGCAAGACAAAGTTTCGTGGTTGCATGAATAGACGTCTTTTTTTTTTCTTTTTTTTTAACGTGCTGTATGTTGCACATGTAGCACCATTGACAATAAAGTTGACTTGACTTGACTTAAACTTCAAGTGGTCATCTCAATAAACCGCTTGAAGCAAGCACACATTGAGTCTTTGAAAGAACTGTTCGCTATCTTCCAAACTGCAGTCTGTACACACAAATGATGACAGAATTGATCGTACGTCTTTGACAGCCCGGTATCAAGTACTATAGTGTCCGAACGCTGCAGAGAGCTTTGGCTTCAGGTGTACAGACACCGTTACCTGCATTGTCACTGTCAGTCTTGTTACTAAAAAGTACATCGTGTTGTTTTATTTGACGGTGAGGTTTCAATACTTTTCTCGTAATGGTGTATCATGCAACCCTATGTGCTGGTCATGATTTGTTTCCAAGTGTCTCATTTCCCTAACAGTGTTCATCTGTGTTGCTTCCTCACAGTGTTGCAGTGTGCCACTGTCATAGGCTTCTGCTACTGGGCCTCAGAGCTCATCTTGTCGCTGCAGCAACAACACAAAAAATACCACGGTTCCCTTGTGTACGTCACCTTCGCCATCAGCTTCTACCTGGTGGCGGGTGCCGGCGGGGCCTCCATCCTCGCCACGGCCGCCAACCTCCTGCGCCACTACCCCACCGAGGAGGAAGAGCAGGCTTTAGAATTGCTCTCCGAGATGGAGGACAGCAGCGAAACATTCCCCGTCGACTACGACATTAGCAACCAGTTTCAGCCTCCGCCCGCGTACACGCCCTGACAGGGCGCGCGGCGTCATTCGCTTGAGGAGTCAACATGCTCGCAGTCAAATGGATATATTTGCAAATACTCTCAACAGCTGAATGCGGTGCGTGCAGCAAATGCACACACTCAACGACTGACAAAGCGCTTGGTTGCATGAGAGCTAAGAAATGGTTCTTGCTTTCACAGATGTTGATTTGCATGTAAATGGCTCGTAGGACTCGCCTCTTCATCTAAAGCAGAATGCTAACTCAACATGGCTGATGAAGTAATTGATCAAGCAGCCTGATCAATGCTGATTAGTACAATCAAAGCTGGCTGATGACCACTGTTTGATTGGCTTCCTAGTGGGTTGACCATTCTTTTTTCTTGATTTTTTTTTTCTCAATGTTTTAACAAGATGTATGTGCTTTGGTTACTGATACTTCAAAAGTACAGAAAAACACTTGAGGCATTTTTTTGACATTGCTTTTTTTTTTTTTAAAAAGTAACAAACACCCTTTATTTATTGATTAGTTAGATGTATCACTTTTCCTTCTCTGTCGCTGTTTAGTCTTACATGGTCACATTCTATGCTTGAGATGACACGAGAAAATACATTTTCTTTGCCAGGAGGACGACAAGCTCTCCACCACCGATGGAGATTAAGTAAACCGCTTTGCTCTAAAAGTAAGATTCACGTTGTACAGAAACCTCACTGCGTTAGTTGCTGTTGTTATGTCCTTACTATACAATTTGTTTCAATACAACTTTATTTGTACTGTGTGAATCAGTAGCGTTTCTGTTTATGTGAGAAATGTTGTGTGCTAATCTTAAAACCTTCTCATGGCATTTGTGTAAGAAGGATTCAAATTGTGATTAGTCTGGTTATCCAAGTTGATTGTGTGCTTTCCCATTTCACACAGTTCCTTCTTTTTATGACTTGATATTGGATTATTTGTTCATCATCGCTTTGTAAATACTGTTTATACATAAAAAAAAAGTAGTAAAAATATAACAGAACTATTTGTCTTTTGTTTTGGCATTTCCAGCTATGAATTTGAGACTATCACCAGATGTTGCACATACAGTACATACATATAACCAGAAGTGTTTGGACCTTGATGTCAGAGTTTTTGTACTCACTCAGAATTTAATAATGAAGTTCTACCTTTGCCCTGCATATCATTTTAAATCTGCAGAAACTATTAATGTTGTGGAGGGTGTATGAAAGTCATATTTAGTGAACAATTGTGAAACTGCATTGGAAAAAATGATGATATAGGAAATTTTGTTTGGTGCCGTTCCAGTGAGATTTATGAAGATGACTGCTTCCAAAAAAAAAAAAAAAAAACGCAAAAATGTTGTGGAGGGTGTATGAAAGTCATATTTAGTGAACAATTGTGAAACTGCATTGGAAAAAGTGATGATATAGGAAATTTTGTTTGGTGCTGTTCCAGTGAGATTTATGAAGATGACTGCTTACAAAAAAAAAACACGCAAATTTCCACAGCCATCATGATATGGGTTGCATGTCAGGTAAAGGCACTGAGATGATGACTGTCAATACATCTTCAAGAAAAGACAGGTTTCCATTAACATTTTAGACAATTTTCTTCTACCATCAATTGAAAGAGCGTTGATTATGAAATAAACTTTCAAGATGATAATGCATCTTGACATGCAGCAAAAACGTTCCATGAAGAAAGACACATCAGGTCAATGTCATGGTCTGCAATAATTTCAATCCAATTGAAAATATTTGGTGGGAATTGAGGAAAATGGTTCATGACAATTATCTGGCAAAACCAATCAGAGAACGTGGGCACCAGATTGATGACGAGTACTGTTTGTCACTCAATCAATACATGCTGTTTAGATTGGAGCTGGAAGAAAAGGGCTGGACATCTGGCAGACAGGGAAGATGCCTGGTGGGGCGGGGTCGTTACGGCTGATGCAGTGCTATTTAATTATTGTTTTCCTCCATATTATGCCCAAATTATAGAGGTGCCATCCCCTTTATCCATCTGTGGTAAAGTTATCAAACTGAGCCAATCCACTTCAGGGGCAGAATTCAAATGCATTGTTCACATTTCCAGAAACTTGCTTTACATATTTATGATACAAGCAGGAGCAAACAGAAGTAAAATAAACTGCTGGGTTTAGAATTTGAAGAATTAAGAGATTTGTGTGTCCTAGTGCTTTTTAAACATCATTCGAATGAATGCACCAACAATCACAGCATGCAAAACAGTGTCGGCTCTGATTGGCTTTTAGCAGGCAACTGCATGAGATAGAAAGACGCTCGATGCCATTTTCTAGTAAGCGAAGCTCAGCAAAATATGTATTTTTATTTAAGAATTGATCCTGCTTGCGAGTAAGTTCAGCAAGGTTCTGGATACGTGTGCATTTTAGCTCATGAAATCCGTTGCAACTTCGATGATCACTTGGAGACACAAATGCCATTCATGAGTCCAGTTGCGGACGTTACTTTGATTATGAAAGATGTGGCTGAGCTGTCGCGCACACTGTGAAAAAAATGGGTAATGAGAAGTTTTTGTCAATGTCATTCTAGTGGTGTAGTTAGTAGATTCTACTTTGTCGTTTGAAACCTCCCACTCGCTGAGATATTTCTGTGATGGCCAGTCGAGACGTTGAGACTCAAGTTGGTAGACGGTGTTACGTCGAGTAAGAGCCTTAGGCTTCAATTTAATCATCTTAAAAGAACACACAGCTTTGCTATGTGGCATGAAATCCAATATATTACTTAGGAGTGGAACAATCTGCATTGAATTAACTGCTTATTAGTGTGGCATCGTTTGCAGTTTGAATTAAAGACTGTTTGGAATACTGCTTTGCTTTCAAGACATCTAAGATAATTAATTTTGTATTAAGGGCTGAAAAACGTCACTGTGCTCAAGAGACTTCAGTTGATGAGACAAATAAATGAGGTACTGTACTAAAAAGGGAGGATGCACTGCAAGCTATCAGCGCAGGGCAAGGTCAGTCATCGCCCGACTCAGAAGATGCATTTTAGGC